TGGTCTCCCGATTCGATTTGGATTTGGAGATTTGGCCGCTGAATCGCGCCAAATCTCATCCGAATTGAATTGGCTGCCAAAGCTTTGCACAGTCCTACTGGGTGGCACAATAATTTATCTTGCCAGTGTGTGTTTTGTGGCTATTTCAGAACCCTCAGCTTCTTTCTTTGATATCCTATCTAGATATCAAGTCTTTTGAATTAATACAACTTGTAAAATCAACTGTATTGTATATGTTCTCAAGTATGCTAGCTAATTGTTTGCAAGATACCTCCTCACAGGAGAACAAGACTAAGATTTTATATATGACAATTTCTGTTGATAAAAGTATGCTCTGTTCTTCCGGTTTGCTTTATAAACTGGTATGAGACCGTCACAGCTAGTTTAAATATGCTCCATGTTTATATTTTATTTATAAATCCTCCTGCAGATTTTAGGCTGTTGCAACCTCTGATTATTCACACACTAAAGAAAATGTTAACATTTTTCACTTCTGAAAAGTGTCAGGTTACTATTCATTTTCGCTGTTGCTTGTGCACTGGTGTTAGTAGAAACAGATGATTAATAGATTATCTGGAGTTAAAGAAGTTTTCTGTTTTAAACAGTAATCATGCAACAGGAGCTTCCCGGAGTTGAATTTCAGGAAAGGATTCAATTGAAATACGATAGGTTGAGGGGAAAATAAGTTATGGTGTGTCAGACAATGAATGTACCTCCATCCACAGTACAGTAATTAATTAGGAGAGTGTGTGATGCCAAAAATACTATGAAAAATATTTTGTAAGTAATTGTAATAGGATATATGATTTATGGAAGCAAATTACATACTACCATGTTTACTCAAATCTAAGTTCCCCCTCAGTCAGCATGGGGTAAAAGCCCCTTATCTTAGATTCATGTACAAAATGGAGGGAGGTTGGGCAAGGTAGGCAGTTGCTGCGGCTGTCAGGGGCAGAGTCAGACCCACAGCAGATTTCTGCCCCCCATTCCACTTGCCCTTTGCAGCTTCTGGGGGAAGGGGAAGAGCCTGTGCCGATCTGAGGGTGGAAGGGTGCCGATGGTGGAGAGGGGGAGGAAGGCTGCAGGGGGAAGAAGTGGGGGGGGGGGCAGAGGGCAAAGGGACCACCTGACCCCCCCCAACCACTTATTTCTCTGCTGTAGTGGAGGGTGGGGGATGAATTTAAGACAACCCTGCAATAATTATTTCTATACCTGAAAAATTATAACAAATGCATACATCTTCTGTGTAGAGAGTCTAATTATCTGGGGGAAATCTTAAATTCATGGTTGACTTAGATTTTAGTAAATATGGTATTTTAAACTGCAGCATATCAAATACTACTTAATGTATTTTTTTGCTTGACCTTTTCTTGCATAAGTGATGATTCCAGACAGTGGAAAAAGAATTCTCAGATCTCATTTCTGGGCAGCTAAGAGCCTTGTGACACGGTATTTTTGGGCAGGTCTTGGAGCTCTTACCATCTGGATTGGCTGCACAGTAACACCTGAAACTAGTTTTAAGCACTTGTTATGTGCTCAAAGTTATACCAGTCCAGGGCAGGATTATCTCTGAACCATGCTACCCTGCTCCTGTTGCACTTAGCTGTAGCCACCTTAGTGTAAACAGTCCACCTGTCGCCTCCCCTGCTGGGCAGGCAGATTAACCCTTCCCTGCCTGCTGGGACAGATAGCCGGGCAGCTATAAGTAGGTGGGGATGAGAGGGTGCCACAGAGGAACCCTGAGGGTTAGTGGGGAGCCAGGAATGGCGCCCAACCAGGGCAATTCTTACCTTTCGGTCCTCCAGGTACAGTTACCATATTTCCAGTTTTGAAAAAGAAGACATGGTCGAGGAGGGTAATATGATTGTTAGGGCGGGCAGTGATATGCCCATACACTGCTGCTAATAATGTTTTGTAGCAAGTCTTTTGAGCTACAACAATGCCCAGACCAAACAGAAGTTCACTGTTGGATCCACAGGGGAAGGGAATCCAGCTGCTGACTGGGAGCCTGCAGACCGTTTTCCTTAGCAACAGTCCCTCCTGCCTCCTAGCCAGGCATTGTTTTCAGAATGGGAGTGGGGAAAGGGAACAGAGGGAGCTTGTTCTAGGGATTCCCCAGCCGGCACTAGAGGGTGGGTTCAGGTGAGTGGATTGGAGCCCCCTCCAGTGGGGGCTAAAAATACCCCAGACTGAACTCCCTCCACTCCCTTTCCCTCCTCCCATTCTGAAAACAGCTCAGAGGCTGGGATGCAGGCAGACACAAATTACCAAAGATGCTGTGTTTTGAAACATCTTCATCTGAACCCTCATGTAATGAGGGTTCAGATTTTTGCAGGATCAGGCCCTTTTAAAGTGCTTTGCAGCCGTGCATGGTAGAGTCCTTTTAGGGGCCAGATAAGGTGAAAATTGTCACTTCTGTCTGTGCCCACAGTGCAAGGTGTAACAAGACCCTATAGCATCAAATTTGGTTGTATGATAAAACATAACCATCAGTTTTCAGGCTGTGGTCTCATACAACTGTATTAAAATTAATATTGCTGTTTTTGCAACTGTCTGTCACTTAGCCTTATATTTACAGTTTGTACTCTGTTCTAACTAAGTAGTACTGTGAGATGTCATGATTTATTTTAAATTCACATAAAAATTCAAATACTGAATAGTATGCAAGGTATTATCATATTTAAAATCCAGTCGTGTAGAATTGCGTTTGTATAAGTTCTCCACTTTTTGTTCATGGATATGTTTTACTTTAAGTAGAGGAAAGCTTCCAGAAACATGTAGGCATCTACACTTCGATCATTCATTTGTACCTGCAACAGATCTAAGACTGCATCTTGTTGTATGGGTGGTTTTGATTAAGTACACTGTGGAAAACTTATATGCTACAAATATTTCCATCAAGAGCAATCAGCTGGGAGGTGGGTGGTTAAAAGCTTGGGTAAACAGGTGTGCATGGTATCATGTGTTATAACGAGGTGTCATTTTAGAAAGTGCTGATATAAGGCCATCCCCTTTTCCTCCTCATTAAGTAGCCTACCAAAATGACAATTTTTACTTTGCCCTGCATTTTAATCCTGGCCACTTTGTGGAATCCAAGCAGTGGTTCTAATGGTAATTGCTACAGTGTGGAGGATTTTCCATATTTTAAATGGTACTTTCAAGTATATAGCTTCAAATTTTTTTGCGGCCATTTTAAAATCTTTAAAATATTTGTCCTCACCCTTTGAATCTGATTACAAACAGATGTCACATTTGTCTCAACAGAAACCATTTTATCCTGGGACAAACTGCAGTTGTTCAGATGCTTATGCCTGCTGTCCCAGGACACACATTATGAAAGTTCATAGGATAAGAAGTGCTAATAGTTTTCTCTGGATATTGTGAAGTGATTCTGAATAGGATTACACTGTTGAATCAGTAGCAGAAAAATGGCAGTGCATTCAGTTGCTCGTTGAGCCCTGATTGGAAGGATGATGTGTGTACATGTCAATCCTGGGACTTTTCTCTTCTGGGACAAAAGCAGCATCTGTTTCTTGTCTCTGCCAAAATGAATAAGCTTTTGTACACAAGGCAGGATTAGCTATCTTTGCAGGTATCAGCAAAGCATTTGTTAGAGTTCACAAAGCCTCAAACAAGATGCTTTCTAGAAAAGTAAAATGTCCAATTCTGTCATAATGGTCATTAAGTCTAACCTGAAATAGAAAATACTTACAAACTGACCTTTCTTGACTACCAAAGGAGTGCTGGGCCTTAGGCTACATCAGCTACTGAGCCAGTTGCAACTGTTTTAGGATGGTTGTGACTGCTGTATGGCTGTGATAGGAATTCGTTTTAAAAGATTTTGATAAGTTCTAGTACCAGATTTCTCTAGAGGATCTCCTTTGTCCAGCCATTTGTGAGTGCTGAGGGTTGGAGGGAACAGCACAATACCTCTTGCATCATAGCCTCTACAGCCTTAATAGGCGCAACATTCAGTTATCACGAGCTTGTACCCAGTTACGTATATTATAAAAACAGCTGAATTTCCTGCTTTGTCCAGCAGCAGTACAAGCATTTTGAAAGGTTGCCAATAATGCTTAATTTGTTACTAAGAGCAACAGACAAATTTTCCCCGCATTTCCACATCTATCTGTTTGCTAAATGTAGTTTTTATATTTTGTTGTGCTGTCAGTGTGCAAAGCAGAATTTGACTGACCTCCTTGTGAAGTCAGTCCATTCATGATTTCTTTATAAATGTTGGGGATGCATCCTAAAGTAAAGTTTGTTTCTGTTTGGTTTTTCTATTATGTGTGAACGACCAACCTACAGTCCTAATAAATGGAAAACTTCACTGGAATTATTGTACTTCCCATGTTGTATTCCTTATTGTTATGGTTGTTTTGTACCGCAGAAAAGGACTAGATTGTAAGTGTGTAATAATGGCAAGGAGACAAGTGTGAATGTATACTTTTAATAAGGTTAATTAAAATACTTACTGTACCTTGTGATTTCTGTGTGGTGGATTCTCTTCTAAATACTTGATTTCTGCGGTATTAGAACAGGATATTATGATGACTCGGGTGCATCATCTTTCACAAATCTCTCAAGTTTCAGTGAGTTTTTATTTCAGAGTTTGAGCTTTATAAATGGCCCATGACTGAGGCTCAACAAAAATGTTACTATTATTTCTTTACCAAAAGTAAAATATTCCTATTCTTATTCAGGGGCAGCATGGAGGAATGGTAATAATAATATATATGATACATAATATTATGATGTATACTATTAATGGTTATATTATATCTGAAAAATGTTATCCAATTAGGCACAAATAATAATGTTCCATTGCCAGATTTTAAAATGCCAAATTTTAAAAAGTCTCTTTATGGTATTATTAGCTTTGTATTATAAATATATGTCTTATGGTCCCTTTTTTCTGTGGCTCATTGTGGTGGGGGGAGGTGTACTAATATTGTAGCTGAACTAGAACAGGTTGTATAACTTGTTTTGCTCTTTTACAGCTTTTGTTACTCTGCTAAATGGAGAACAGGCCCAAAATGCAATTCAGAAATTTCACCAACACTGTCTTCGTGGTAAAGAAATATCAGTGCAGCTGCAACCAACAGATGCTTTGCTTTGCATTACCAATTTGCCAACCTCATTTACATTACAAGAATTTGATGAACTGGTGCGTACATATGGCAATGTTGAGAGATGTTTTCTGGTCTATAATGAAGTTACTGGTCATTCAAAGGGTTATGGGTTTGTGGAATACATGAAAAAGGACTCTGCTGCAAAGGCTAGACTGGAACTTCTGGGCAAACAATTAGATGAGAACACCCTCTTTGCGCAGTGGATGGATGTTAATCAGTTGACCATGGATCTTATTCATTCTAAGTGCCTTTGTGTTGATAAACTCCCTAAAGACTATGCTGACTCAGAGGAACTGATGCAAGCTTTCTCACTGAAATATAAACCTGTGTTCTGTCAGGTATGTATATATGAATTGAAAGCTTTCAAAAGATGCATATGGAGATGTTTTTAGTCTTGGATTTGCATATTTTTTCTACTCCATTGTTTTACTTTTAATTTGACTGATTATATACATTATGATGTATCTACATATGAAGTAGTAATGTATGATGCAATACTAATGTTTCATTGACATAGGTTTACCATGACTGATAGATCACCATATAGGAGACCATCCCAGTTGAGTCTAGATATAAGGTTTATAATATGTTCTCTTCCTGTGTATTTCACAGAAAAAGATTTCAGAAATATTTTACAGAGCTTCTTAGATAGATTTTAATTTCAATTTTATTATTTGATCTATAAAGCCAGATTGTGTTGGCTCCTTAAATCAAATGGCACAGGACTTAAAGAAAAGTATTTTAGAAACCTTAAAAAAATCTCAAGTAATTTTCTTTGATTTGTAAAGTTGTAGCCTTAAAGGGTAATAGTTTCCAATGCTAGCACTAGCTAGAAATAAGTGTTGTTTCTGTTGGAAAGGACATATAGATTGTTGCTTTCTGTTGGTATAAAGGCTTCCCACCCTGTCCTGATTTACACGGTATGAGAGCACAAAACCTAACTCGGTGTGTCAGGCTTTCCTGGGCCCATAGGTCTCTAATCCCTAGACTAGAATATGAAACAAGCTACTTTTAGAGTATCCCAACCTAGCCTAGCTTGTCATTTCAAATAATAAAATCAGGAGTTTCTGACAGAGCCTATTTTCCATAAAACCATGTTGAATGTACAGTTTGAGGTTGTTGAAAAGTTCATACATTTTACATCTTTAATTGTGGATCGCATCATGAGACAGGTGATATGTGTGATATCACACATGCTGATGATACCCATGCAGTAGGTGGCAGAGCCAGGCAATATTGCCCATAAAATATTCAACATAAAATATTAGAGTGCTTTGTTATTGGAAGTAATGCAGCCATTCTAAGAAAACCATTTTATACACCTTCAGGTCTCTCTCTCTCCGTCTCATAAATATGTATCATTACAGACTAATGACATTTGTTATTTATTGTATTATTACAATACAATTGTAATAATACAATTATTTGTATTATTACAATTCTAGATGGAATTGCAAGCTCTAGATGGATCAGGGTCCCACTTGATGTAGGCATAAAACAGAACTAAAGACGGTCCTTTACCAAGGAGCTTACAGTCTAAGTTAAAGTCAAGATACAAGCAAATAAAAGTACAAAGAAGAAGCGAGAAAACACTGGCTAAACATGATAAGCAGTCATCTCAGCACTCCCTCAACTTAGGCCAGGGCGGGCAATTATTTCGGGCAGAGGGCCGCTTACTGAGTTTTGGCAAGCCATCAAGGGCCGCATGACAGGTAGCCAGGGGCAGATAAATATTAATTTTCCAAATTTTTTAGGGGCTTCGTGGGCCAGATAGAATGGCCTGGTGGGCTGTATCTGGCTCACGGGCCACATTTTGCCCACCTCTGCCTTAGGCCATAGAAAGGTCTGTTGGTGAGATATGCTAGTTGCATGGTGCATAATAAAATCACACCAGTTGGCTGACATAACTATGCCAGCAAAACCCAAGGTGTGGATGCAGCTGTCCTGACAGAAGACAATGTCTGCCAACCAAGTTTATGCCATTCAGGGAAACTGGTGTAAGTCTAGTGGCAGAAAGTATTCTTCTGGCAGAGTAGCCTTCACACCTAGAAGGCTAGGATACAGAGACTGTAGCTAAGAATGGAGCAGTCCTGTAGTGTATCATTAAGCCCTAGGCTTTTTTTGACAAGGTTTTTTATAGGCTTAATGAAAAGGGACACTTTTAAAAAGAGTTTTAACGGGCTGTAATGTATTAGTTTTGTGATGTCTTTGGAGAGCAACTTTAGTGCGTGAAGACAGTGAAAGGGAAAAGCAAAAAGGTGCTTGTTTGAGAATCAAACACGTGAGAGACAGAGGATTAATTGGAGGAGGGAGTTTACACCATTGGTAACTCATCTGAAAATGAACCATGACTGGCCTTAAAAGTGAAAATAAGTAGATTGTTTGCTGAGACAGAGGAGGGGGCTAGTACAAGGATGAATAGAGATGAGAAATGTGGTTCAAAGGACAAGCTAGGAGTATGATCTTTGCAGCAGCATTCTGAATTGAACTGCAAGGGCCTAGGTTGCATTTGTCAAGGCCTCAGAAAAGGGTGTGGCAGTAACTGAGATGCAAGATCAATGGCATCCTGAAGGACAATTTTACCTGTGTGGATAATAATACTATATTTACTTGAATATAGGATGACCCTGATTATAAGATGCCCCCCACAATGATTAGATTTTACATACAGAAAATTTATATATGTATTACAATTTTACAGGTATAGAATATATTTATTGGAGGGTTGCCTTGAATTTGTCCCCCTCCCGCTGCTACAGCAGAGAAAATAAATCTAGGGGGTCAGGAAGCCCCATTCCCTTCTGCCTCTCCCCAGCTTCTTTCCCATGCAGCCCCTTCGTCCCCTTCCTTACTTGCAGACCCTGCTCTCCCTGAGCACATGGAAATGAGGAGTACATTTTAAAGCACTGACCTCAAAATAAACATAGCTGTAGTAACTTGAACATAATACGCATAGACTTAGTTCACCCAGAATTAATGCATTTTACCTATATATATATATATATATATATATTACCTAATATATTACAAACTGGGCTGGGACCCAGCAATCAACAGCATTTGAAGCCGTGGTGACCCGACAGCTCAGCACTTCTCAGTATGATTGCATCCAGATGAGTGGGAATGTGCTGTTTGCAGTACCGCAAAGCCTTTTGAGGCGCCACAAAACACATGCAATGCTCATGGTTCCATTTGCCAAGTTGCATATTTGCAATGCGGCAGGAAAATTAGATAATGGGAAACCCACTATCTAAAAAATCTGTGGCAGAAGAAAGTGGGGCAGCACACGTGGATACAGTGTGCAGCGTCCAAAACCAGAGCGTGACCAGCCAGAGCCACACTGCAGCTGCCAGCCAGGCTCCACGCACCTGGATTGCTGCTGCTGCAGCCCCGGGAGGCCCCTAGAACCCCAGGTGAACTGCTGGGGCCAGCCCAGTTGTTGGCCCCAGCCTCCCCTACGCCACTGGGGCAATTTGCCATGCCCCAGAGCACGCATGCGGGGGCATGCCACTGTGCCACTGCTGTTTCTCCCTGGGGAAATGTACTTCCTGCTTGTCTGGATGCACCCTATGTGTGTGTACTCCAGATACACCCCCACATCCATGTGCTAATTAGCCCCCACCCATGACTGGAACTGGGTGTTCTTGTCATAAGTCCTGAGATAGATAGTCCAAAAATTTATTTGCAGATGAGGCACCAGGCAGCCTGGTTTGGCTTTACATCATGGAGGCAGGGCCACACTAACCATATGTGACAGGCTTAGACAGGGGGCAACAGATGGACTCAGGGTAAACTGTTTGGTGATTTTTGCCAGACATTTAAGGCTGGTGAAGAAACACGAATCATTGGAAATGGGAAAGAAAAGTGCAACTCAGCTGTGGGAATGAAGAGGAAGTCAAAATATATGCAGTGTAGTGGCTCAGCATGACTTCAAAAGAGTCGGTGCTGAGGGGTACTACATTCAGTGGGCACTACCATATATCTTTTCCAGGGGGATGCACTAATCTATCCTTGTGGTTTCAGCATGTTTGACCAATATGGGCCAAGTATTTTATAGTTATGCATGGCTGCATTTAATCAACTTCATAGTTATTCCGTTATTGAGCACATGCTGCTTTTGGCAGCAGTTTAATGATAAATGATGCATTTAGGAGGTTTCCTTGTATGCAAGTGTAAGACAAAGGGCTTCTCTCTCCCCCACCCATGCTGGTTGCAAGAAAAAAACTTGTCTTGTATTTGAAGAAATACAGTATTTAGAGATGCTATGCTGAAACACATCTGCAATATTTAGACATAGCTTGGATGTCTGGACTTGGAACAGGATCCAAGTCAAAGAAGATCCACTGCTAACTAACCTGAGTGCCAAGCAGGATGGTGGAGTTGTCCATAGTAATTAAGAAGTGGTGGGGGCTTCTAGTGAGGAGATTAAGAACATAGTTCTAGACATGGTGAGCTTCAAGGTAAGGAACAGAAATTAAACATAAACCAGTATAAGTGATTGGAAACTGGTTCAAGTCTCTAACACAACAGAAGTTCAGTGCACATAAACTGCTTTCAAAATTGTTGAAACGGGTGTAAGATAAACTGGATGGATGTGATGTCAGACTTAACTGGTTTAGGTTAAATTGGTTTAGTGAACTCCTGTCCTATCCCAGATCCCCTCCAGATTCAAGTTAGCTCACAGTTCCACAGCATCCCAGGATGTTTTTCTGGGTAAGTGGACTAGACTTGGCTCAAGCTGTGTGTTCCAGCCAAGCAAGGATACGTGCTTTAGTACCTCCCTTTCCCCTGCCCCGGCTTCTGGTCTGGGCTGGCACGTGCAGGCATGTGGCTGCATTACCAGAATCAAAAGTAAATATGTGTTCACTCTTATCTGTTCAATCTCTGCAGCTTAGACTACACTGCAAAGATTGAATCAATTCAACCTCGGGCATTTTGATAGTGGGCATGTCGATATGTGATGTTGCGTCACCGTAGCAGCGCACTATGGCAATGTAGCATCAGCAGTCACAAACTGTGATGCAGCAGCTACACTGCTGTAGCAATGCACTCCTTCATTATAGCATGTTGCTGCGGTGATGTAGCAAGTAAAAATAACCATGCACAGTGCAGGCTATTACTGCACCATCATTTAGTACTTCCAAAAGGTGCGGTAACAAAGGCTCCGTAGGGGCATGTGTAGAGGTGCCCTGTGTGTGCTTAGCCCAAATGATAGATGTCAGAGGGACATTCTGGGATATGGGCTTGGACAAAAGGAGACTAGTGTGGAGCAGAGTGGTAGATCTAAAGAGTTTTCACCATGGTGATGCCAGTTGAATTAATGACTATGGATGAGATCACCCAGAGCAAAGATATCCAAGGAGGAGAAATAGGCCCTAGGGACAGAGCCTTGAGAAAAAAGTCAGAAGCAGGGATGGGGACAATCCCAAATACTAAAGCAGTGACAAGTTGTAGAAGGAGAAGCAGTGTTATGTAAGCCAAAAGAGGACAAGATTTCAAGAAAGGTCCAAGATTTATTATGTTAAACACCCGTAACAGTTTGAGGAGGAGAAGGATGGACATGTTGGTTCTGAACTGTGACTGAGGAGAACTCATTATAGGAAAAGGGTTATTGTTTTTATTATAGTTTCCTAAATATAGCCAGGTATTACAGTTCATTAACAGATTGCCTTTGGTACTAACTATTCATCTTGTAAAAATGTTTTAGCTTGAGGATTTTGCTTAAGAATCTTACTCCTTTTGATGTGTTTATTTCCCTCAATCTGTAACTTTACTCTTCCTTATACTATTCTTCTTCCCTTGTTCCCTCCTGTACTGGAAATACAGACTTTTCTTTAAGGAAGAGCTGCGTCCAAATATTTATACACACTTTCTAAAATGCCTCCATTCCCTGCACGTGACTTGCAGAGATGTTTGTTTCCCGTGTTCCTTGCTTCAGTTACGGAGAACGAGGCAACTACTTAACCTTTTCTTACTTCAGCTCTTAGGTTTTCAGTAGGAAGTCTCCATTTGTGTTTTAGTGATTTCCCCCCCACCTTAACTTCACACAGATTGTGGTGGCTGCAGCATTTCAGGTTGAAGGTGTCTCGTTTACCTGGATTTCTAACTGGGAGAAGCTCTAGTAGTGCAATTTGTTGTAGAAGTGTAGCCATCTAATATGATAAAAGCCTTTGTCTATTTGTCTGTCCACAGCACTCTGGGCCAACTGCACATGCGCCGCCGAGAGGGCACATGCCTATTGGCTGCGAGGGCCTGGAATGTTACGGACAAAGGGAGCTGCCGCACCGCCCCTCTCGCCCCCCCACAACAGCCGGCAGGGAGGGGGGAGGTGGCAGGGAAGAGGAAAGAAAGGGAGGGAGAGAGGGGAGCAGGAAGGGGAAGGGCCCCCTCCTGCTGCCGCGCCTGCCCCCCACTCCCTCTCTGCCTGGCCCCAACAACAGCCAGCAGAGAGGGGAAGGCAGCGGGGAGAGAGGGAGTGGGGGATGTTGCCTGCAGCTGGGTGTCAGCAGACGCTGCCCCATGCAAGCCCCCTCCCTCCCTGTTCCTGGAAGCTGCCAGGAGCACAGGGTGGAGTGGCAGGGGATGGGGGGGTGCACGGGGCTGGACGCGGGGCGGGGGAAGGTGCACAAGGCTGGGGTTGGGGGTGTGTGAAAGGTTCATGGGGCCAGAGGCAGAGTGCTGGCACTGCAGGGCATTGGGTGGCAGCACTCCATCCCTGTCCACCTAACCCCCATCCCCACCAGTCACTCATGATGGGCAGTTTGCTAGTTCTTTATAAAAGTCTGTCATATCTTAACCAGGGGTTTGTTGCAGTGCAGCAACATTATATAGATAAAACACGGTTTAGACAAGCTCTTCTATTTCCTCAGCCCTCTTCCCTTCCAAAAGCTGGAAGTTATTTCCAACTGCTAGATTTGACTTCAGTGATTTTAACCCCCTGCAACTACTGAAGAAGCTGTAAGAAAATTATTGTTATGACCCTTATTACTTCAAGAACTAAATACAGTAATTGAAAATTAGTTGATTTTCCAGTCAGATTGAAAGAACACTGTCTTTTCTCTACATCATGTTGAACAATGATTCTATATCACTTCTGTTTATGTTAGGAATTGACACTACTGCCTAAAAGATGTGGTCCATATTTTAACTTTCTTGTTTAACAAGAAGTTAGTGACTCTACCATAAAACACTGTGTATAAAGCATAGACGGCAGTGATATTAATTTTTGCCGGGGTGCTAAGATGATGCCCTCACCCCTGGTGGCACAGCTGGAGCAGAGCTGAGCAGAATCCTTGGGGGGTTGGGGGTGGATGGGGGCTGCTCACTGCAGGCCTGGGGCTCCCTGCCTTGCTGTCATTCCCATGTTGCCATGGCAAAGCGCCCCTTGCCTGGCCAGCAGCAGCAGGGGGCACAACACCATGCTGCCACCCCAACTGCTGCCGTGTGGGCAGGGGGCACCTTGCCATGATGGGGCAACCGGTGCAGAGCTCCCAGGAGAGGGCAGCAGGGCAGAGGGCCCTGAGCCCACAGCAGGCAGCCTGCATCTGCCCTCATCCCATGCACAAATCTGGGGGGCACATGCTCCCTCATTCTTCCTTCCCCAGGAGTTCGTGTAGCAGCAGGGAGCCAGCTCCCCCTCACCCAACTGCATGAACCACTCCTGGTTCTGTCCTGCTCCCCATCCCAACCCTGGGCCCCATGCACCACCCTAGTTGGGCAGCACCCCCAGGCCGAACCTCTGTCCCACTCCCTCCTTTGCTGTGGGACCTTGATCTACCCCCATCATCCAGTTTACCTGCAGGCAGCTGGAGGAGCTGTTCTCCATTGCTGCCTGGGTCTATATTCGTGGCCATGTGCATGCCTGCCTAGCCCCTTTCCCCTCCTCCCCCACTTACTAGATGCAGCTCAGCTCCCCACTTCCTAGAATAGGGGTAGTTGTTTGGGCTAGAGAGTCACTCAAGGAGTTTTGCTGCACTCTTGAGGTCAGGGGGTAGGGGCAAGTCTGACCCAGCCCCGGCCCCGTGTCATAGCTGTTTACACTAGGTTGAGGGGCGGTGGGGAGGAAGGGGTCCAGGGAGATTCCAGTTTATCCTAGCTGGACCGGGCAGGCAGTGTCTCCATCAAGACCAGCCTGGACCTCTGTGGGCAGGACTCACTCAGCTGGGTGGACAGGATGGGGTCAAGGGCATGAAGGGAGTGGGACAGGTGATTGTAGGGTGGTGACAGGATGGAGCCAGGCCTGGGGCACAGTCATGAACCTCTCCCCATACATTCCTGCAATGAATATTGGTTCTGCGGGCAGGGATCTGAGGGGAGTAAATCATGGCCCTGGCCCTGGCCCTGGCCCTGGCCCTGTGCTGTCACTACCCCAAGATCCTGGCCCCAGCCCTGCCCACTGTCCCATTGCCACCCACCTGTGGCCCCATCGCATCTGCCCAGCAGAGTGTGCCCTGCTCACTGGGGTCCCAGGCTGGTCTCCATGGAGACCCTACCTGCCTGCTTCATCCAGTGCCCCTGGCAGTTGCTGTGGGGTGTATGTGGGTCTGGGGTGTCTAGGTAGCAGTGCTGGAGTCTGGCAGAGGTGGCAGGGCATGTTCCTGGTCCTGAGTGGCAGCAGGGGCTGCCAGGAAGCTGAGTCCAGCTGCTGTGCCTCCCCTGCTACACCACCCACCATCTCCTGGCCCTGCAGACTACTGTTCCCAGTGTGCTCAAAAGCTATGTTTAGGGATAGGGCAGGCTGTGCCAGGCAGCACCTCCATGCCTGGGGTGGTCGGATGGCCACATGCACCATGGCCTGGGCTGTTCCCTGTGCCTGGGCCAGGTGAGGCCGAGGGACCCGCCATGGATTGAATGGAATCACTTGGTGGTCCAGATCCAATCTGTGGACTGTGTTTTGCTCACCCCTTGCCTACAAGCTGAAGCTGCACCTGTCACAGCCAGGATGCAAGGGACCAGGGGAAGCAGCAGTGGTAGCATGGGCACAGGCACAGGCAAAACCATCCCATTCTATAGGCTCTGTGGACCAAATGTTGCTGACCCCTGATCTAACTCCTTCCATAAGGATTAAGTTCAACTACAAACTGCAGTCTCCCTCTAAGATTCATGTGAATATGAGTGGAATCTGTAGTGTAATATTTTGTTTTGTTAATGTAGAAATTACCCTTTTTCATGTGACCTTACAAAGAAAGTACTACTACTTAGAAATGTGTTTAAACCAAGTATCAAAGAAATTTTATTTTCTATAGTAAGAAAATTATAAGTGAATATAAAAATAGTGTTCAAAAACTCGACATACTTGAAAATTTCATTCTCCTTTATAAAATAACTGTATTTATTATTAAAGCTGTTGAATAAATTTCATACTTAGGTTTTCCATGAGATTAGATATAAAGGCAGTGGTAAGTCGAATAGATGCAGCACAGCACATCAGCTAAATATAATATAACAGTATATTTCCATATTACATTTAACATACATGGGAAGAAATGTTATAATTGGGGTAGGCATTGCAAATTAGTTAATCATAGGAATGTTAAATATTTTGCACAGGTAATTAATGCTCAGTGCCAGGGGGAGGGTGAAAATATTTTAAAGCAGCTGCTGAAAGTGTGTGCTTTATTAAGCATATTGTGAAATGCCATTTCAGTTTGCTCAGGATGAAGATAGTTATATTGGTGGCTTTGCAGTAATTGAGTATGAGACTTCAGAGCAGACGGAGAAAGTGCGAGAAGCCACAGATGGTATGATTATCAAAGGAAAGAGAGCCCAAGTTTCATACTGTGCTCCTGGGGCACCAGGGCGAAGCACACTAGCAGCACTTATAGCAGCCCAAAGGATGGTAAGTAACCTTTCCATTTTCAAAGAGAAAACAATTCAAAATTTCAAATGTATGTTATACATTAATATTACACACACATGTGCCTGCACACAGATGGACAGACAGACATATATCTGAATTAATGAGATCTCTGTGACAAAAGTTCATAAATACTTTTTATATCCCTTTGGCAAGAAGGTGATTATTCAACCAAGCAAAAATCTTTGTAAATGAGAAAACTATTGGCCTCATTGAAATGTTAACACTTAAAACATACCTCTACATTAAAAAGAGACTCTGTAAAATAGCTTTGGGAAGTACTGTCTTTATCAAAATGTTTTTCGTTTGTCTATGAAAAGAATCATTTCTTTAACTTTTCTTCAAGAGCTGAGGTTATAACTTGATCTGCTTAAGTTGAGTTACAAGTGTTATGCTGTAGCAACACTGCAGAAGTGACTTAGTTTTACGTTCAGATTGGCCAGAACATATTAGCTACCCAGCCCCAAATCTGCCTTCTCCTTGTCAAAACAAGGCTGTATAATGCAAGGATGAAGAGTAAAATTTGGCCATACAACACATGTAACAATCAAATTCTAGTAAGTTTAGCATCTGTGGGTACATCCAGACAAGTGTGGCTGTGCGGTATGTGGTGCTGCGAACATGTCTGTAGTGCCACTACTGCACAGTCAATCATTCTCCGTGTTGGAAGGGACTGCTGCCCATGCATGTGCTGCTCTAATTTTTTTTTTCCTTTGGGTATGTTTGACCCATGGATATCCAGGAATCAAAAAAAACGGAGTAGCATATGCTCAGGCAGTACACACAGGTGAAAAGCGGATCCGGGCCATCTGGAGCCGTATTGCAGCTGCTGCCTAGGCTCTGCCTGGCAGGATGACCACAGCTGCAGCCCCAGGAGGTCCCCAGGCAAGGCTGCTGGGTCCAGCACAGTGCTGGCCCCAGCCTGCCCAACTGCCCCCGGGGTATCTTGCTGCACACCAGAGCACACGTGGTACAGGTGTTCCGTAGGAACAAGTAGCTGCAGTGCCAGGTGTGCCGCTGCTGCTTGTTCCCAGAGAACCAAACATCCATGCTCATCTGGATGCGCCCAGTGAGGGAAACTATTTCAGTTTTAAAATAAGCCAAATTGAGAAGGTGTACTTCTTAGAGCTGTGATTTGGTTTAAAATAAGTATTTATGTAATTGTAAAATAAATTTTAAGGTTGTAGGATGGCTAATTTCATGCCTGATGTAGAAGAAGCTTGTATATCCTGCATGTCATATCAAATCATTGCTTAGAAAATTGGAAGTGAAGGTGAGTTGTTTGAAGCTGTCATGAAAGTAGTAGCACAGTATTCTTATTGCTTTGGATAGCTTTGAATACATGACTCTGCTTTTCTGTAGAGCTCTACCCCACAACTCTATAGAAGAGGTGTGTTTGTGTTCTTATGGAATAAGTCTTAATAATGTATATTTCATTTCCTCCGTTACTAGCTAAATTTCTAGTTCTGTGGAAAAATATTTTCCCTGAGGAAAACCTGACACCTTCTTGTATAAAAGATACTCTGGAACATACTGTTCATTACATCTAAACCAGTGATTCTCAACTGGGGTAATGCAAAATCCTTTGGTGTGTGAGGAGGTGCAGGCTCAGGCTTGTACCTGCCCGGCTGTTCCCTTTCCCCCACTTCCTGGCCCCCTCTACAAAGAGATAACAGTAACAACCGTAACAAATAGTTTTTGAAATGGGATGGCATTCAGTTCACAAAAGTTATGAATGAGTGCATTGAGTCTAAAAAAGATGAGAACCACTGTACTAGAAAGTAATTAATTAGATGTTTTTGCAGACAGTTATCCTGCAGGACTCTTCTCTTCTCTGTGACGCATGGTGTTCTAAGAAATAAATCTGCACAGGGATCTAAATGCATTCTTTTTACTAAGGACGTTAGAATGCTTGAGATGCTATGTAGAACATGCTTTTGTTTCATCCTGGTTCTAACATTTCTCCATCTCTGCTCTTTTGAGATGAGAAACAATAGGAAAGGATTGCTTCCAGAGCCAAACGCAGTCCAGATTATGAAAAGTTTAAACAACCCAGCCATGCTACAGATACTTTTGCAGCCCCAGTTGCGTGGATGTGCTGGTAAACCTGGTAAGCTTTTAAGAACTTAGAAAGCAAATAAGCCGAATCTCCTTCCCCCATACGTAGGAAGATGATCCTTGTTCCCTTCCAGTCCTATGATTCTAAGATTCCAGTCCTGTGATTCTGTCTTCTGTGAGATGCATGAAAATGTTGAATCTGTATGTGTGAACATTGTTTTATGTTAAATCTGCTGATGCCAGTATCTAGTTTTACTTTATGTTTACAGTATAGTCTGTGTCTGCCAGTCTTGCAGCACTCTTCCCCACACTTACGGCTGGAGTAATGCATTTTTTAATGTCTTGGAGAAACATATCACCTTTAGCTTTGGAGGAAGGGAAGATTTTTTTACGTCCAAAGTATCATAATTGTCTCGAAATATTTTTCCTTATGAAAGTTAGAGCAGATAGAGGGACAGCAAACTGGTTTGAAAGCTAATTTAAATGTTAGTGTTTCTTGTACACCTTTACTAACTAACTCTTCAATTTACATATGTTTATGTTAGAAATTGGCTTAATATGTAATCTGTGTCACAAACATATTTAGACTTTGAGTGTTCGGATCTGGTTCCAGATGTGTACTTTGCAATTCAAGTCCTTTCCCAGTGCATAATATTTTAAAATACTTTTTTCACTTCTATGTTTCCATAGATACATGCATACACGTTATACAAACATAGTCCTGGTTAAGGTCATTTCACTAAAGGAACTTGCCTTCTCATTAGGTCAGACAATAAATCACAAAGGAATCTAACAAGTTTCAAAGAACTAAAGGGTTAAAAGGAAGAGGAACAGACAATCTGCAGATTTCAGGACAGAAAGATTTAAAAATATAGGATGCTGTATAGTGTGTTGTGTCTTTTAGACTAGAGATTCAGCACATTGGTGAAAGAGGAAGAGGATGATGAAGCTTTAAGGTGTCTTTTTGCCACCTTTGTCCTGGCCTGTTTTAGGCACTGTACAAATCTCTGGGTTAACTGTCAGCAATCTCTCTATGGACTACCCCATCAGCTTTAGGTTGTCCTTCCTGCTCCCAGGACCACCAGACTTGGATTTCAGTGGTATTTTGTGCAGGCATTGTGGTTCTTCAGCATGCTCTTAATCATAAATGTATTTGGAGAGGCCAAATGGAATAATGTATAAATATGAATACCAGTACATAAAGGATACATAAAAATAGATATTTATATACCTGAAGAAAAATGTCCTACATTCAGAAATGTACCTAAATCTATCTCAGCCATGCAGCTAGTCCAATAAAAGATATCGTGCCAAAAAATCCTTGCCTTTCATATATTTCTTGGACCATCACAGGTACAACATCACTCCAACACTACCATATCTTTATATAACTTGTTTTTAAAATTACTTTAAGTATTTCATTATTAACATCTTGTATTTCCTAAAACAGTTCTTGGAGCTTCTGCTGGTTTCCCTCATCTTGTAAATACAGCAGTCAGCCCAGTTTTGAATCTGAATCAAGTTCACCAGGTATGTTTGCTCATGTGAAATAATGTATACCCCAGTGTGGATTTATGAAGTATTCTACTTCAAAAACTATACACGGCTGTTGAGAAATTATAAGTAAAATCAACTTTTCTTGTTAAAATGATCTTGTTCCTTATAATCTATTTTATCTGGTGGTTTTGAATGAGGTTTGACTCATTAAGATCAAGTTGTACATATTATCTGCGTGCAAATTAGTTTTTTACTTTTTTCTGAGGTTTTTGATTTACTAATACCTGACTGGTGACAGAGCTTTTCCTAAAAGAAATCTTTTTCCATTTCTGAATTACATCAGGAGAGGGTGGGGGGAAATGGGGGCACTGATTCCTTCTGGAAGTACCTCAAAAAATATAGAACTTTTGGAAAATGTGTCCTTTACAAGGCAAGAGCTATCACTGTTATCTATCTGTTTTAGTTCATACTATGTATTGTAAAGCAATATGACTTTCAGCCCAGTATGAGCCCAGCATATCCTGGAAGATTACAAAGAAATCCAGGATCCATAAGGGGGCTCTGTAAAGGAGATTTGGGATAAATCCGTACCCTAGCTTAAGGATAAGTCCATGGACTGGACTTGCAGCTCTGGCCCATAGACAGTGCACCTCTCTACACCAATCCAGTGCGTCAGCAATCCATACGGTTTCTACATCTTGCTACCACATCATGGGTACCAAAAAGTTTGCCAAAGTGGAGACACTGCCAATGGTCAGATTTTACCTTTAGTAAGTATGGGCAGGATTTTCAAAAGCTCCAAATGGAGTCAGTGTCTCAAGTGCCATTGACTTTTAAACAAGGCTTTTGCTCCTACAGCTGTTCAGCGCTTTGAAATTTCCACACTAAATGAAAAACATCCATGTTTGTTAGGGTTTTGGCTATGCTTTTATAACCTATAGCAATGTGTCTGTTGAGAGATAGTGAGCTATAATAGAAGAGATCTTCATAGTAAATGCACTTCAGTTTTTCTGTTAAGAAATTGCTGTGTTTGTGTCTTTTTCAAGTATTAGATATGTTGATCAGACCTACATTATTAGAATAAAATGCTTCTGCCTCCACTTTGAAAATAAAGGTCATTATTTGCTTCCATTTCTTTTTTAAAAAAGTGACTTCAAAAGTCTTCTGCTCTGTTTAGTTACTGCTGCTCTTCTGTAGCCTGAAGGAGTCTGTCTTCCTAGGAAGGCAACATGAATGCTTTTTAATCACAGCTGGTGGGAAGCATGTTTTACATAGTTACAGTGTGATTGATGAGGATCCAATTATTTTTTGGCTTAGGTATGCTGCAGCCAAAAGTTATGGCTTTTGCTTTAGATAGACTTGTACATTTAATATTCTTCCATGGAGGCTCTTGGCTTTTAATTAGTAACTAAGCCTGACCTAATAGGTTGAACTTTACTGAGTTTTAATGCTCTTCATCTGGCTCTTTTTTATCTTTGGTGATTTATCTATCTGGAGTATTCTTCAATGCCAAAAAAACAGGTCATTACTTCTTTCTTGGAATTCAGTGTTGTCATAACACATAGAGCTTTTGCTCTCCAGCTTTCTATTAGCTTTTGGGGAAAAAACTTAGCTTCATCTTATTTCCATATATCTTCTTGCTTCTGTTGCTTTAGCTTCATGGCATCCAAGGTTTGTTAACCTATCCCTTCAAAAGAAGCAGTGTGTTTAATATGATTATGTCCAAACATTGGTCATAAAAATAATTAAGTAATGAAGACAAGGATTTAGCAGATGAATTTGAAGCCCTTTGGATGAATCACTGACCAGTGTTTCCATTTACAGAATTTAAATGTTTTTATTGTTTAACTTAGCTGCTGTGGATCCTTCTTCATGTACTAATAGAACATACTGTAAACTTTAACTTAATATTTTTTTGCTGCTGTGTCTGCTGTTTAAAGAGTCAACCTTTAGTTAATTCTTGGGATCTTTTGAGGACTTACCCGAGAAAGTTTTTCTTTGTCTTCTGAAGTTTGTCACTAAATCAGTGCACTTCCTTTCTTGATTATTTAACAGAAAATGTAACCAAAACAAGTAAACATAAAATATATTTGCTATTTATTATATTTATGTATATAAATAAAACACCAAGATATATTTTTTACCATAGGCCATAAATAATGACAGGTGTTTAGGGCAGGTATGTGGACTAAATAAACAAATACTTATATATACACAATCCAGATTTATCTCCTTTTTTTGTTGGGTAAACCATGTTTGAATGTAAAGTGTAATTCTCAGATCTTTCAAGGTGTAGCTTATTCCTTGTTTTATGCATAGACGTTTTTGTATATAATTTTTAAGAAAACAAAGGACTTTTTCTTTGAATGTCTAAATTCTAGTTGTGTACTGAGTTTGGTTCTTATGGCTATGACCCTGCCAAAAGGGACATAAGCTGTACTGTCTGTAATTCTGAAAGCATTCATCAGGCAGAGGGTTCTGGCAGACCCAAAAGGTAACAAAGCCTTATTTCCTGTGCTCAGCTTCGTCTTCAGTTTTCAATCACTGGTGGTGTTTTAGCTAGCATGGGGGATTTCAGGAAATGAAAGAGATTGTACTTACTAAAATTCCATATATCCATTCTTGCATTGCAGAGTGCATTTTGTGAATGCCAAGATGTTAGCAAAAGAGATTTGTTGAGAGCTGGAGCAACATATGTTCTGCCTGGCATATCATGTTAGAGAATCTCTGCCAAAATGTTGTTTGGAAACATTTTTCAAGCATATGTATAACTAACACAAATGATAACATGGTTTGCTCTGCTGTGGATAGAGGTTTTCTTCTAGACCACCACACTAGCCAAAAATATATATTACAAATTATTGTCATAAGTTCTATCATGGTGTCTCAACATGATTTTAAGTTCCTTGATTGTAGGTGCAAATGGTGTTCATAAAGGTATTCAGTGTAACGCTGCACAAAATTCAGTTCAAAGACGACAGTCTGGGAGTAGACTGAATAGCTTGTTCAATTGTGGGTGCATTTAACACGTGCAGTTAATGTGCATGAATAAACTGAGTTGACGCAGCACCTGGAAGCAGTATTCATGTGGACCCAGGACTGCAGCACGTTGAGCCTGGTCAGAGTAGCCCCAGCTGGCACGGGGCCTGGAGAGGGGTCAGCCTGCCAGCCCAGGGCTGCTCCCCCCAGCTCAACATGCTGCGGAGGGACTGGCTAGGGCACAAGATTGCTTCAGCGCAGAGCTAGCTGGCAGGCAGCCCCCATACTGAAGCACCCTCATGCCCCAGTCAGCTGAGACAGAGTCTGTACCTGTACTGTTGTGGAGTAAAAATCCCCACAGCAGGGTAGTTACAGGTCCTACCCTGCTGCTATGTTAATTAGTTTACTGCCACCTTATAGGGGTGCACATGTAGGCACATGGTGTTTACTGTGCAGCTAATTAGTCTGCTGTGCAGTATGTCTCGTAGACATGCCCTGTGAGTGTTTCTTGAATAACGACTTCTCATGAGACAGTGGAGCATAGTATCTGCTGCTTCTCTGGAGTAGCATTCATGTTATATAGCATTAAATAATATTTCCTACCAGTCACAACAGAACTTTATAAGGCACTAAGATGTGGGAAGCAGTCCTGTAATAGAAAATAAAAGCATTACAGGCACAACACAAATGCCAGTAAATTTTTTTTAAAAACTGATCCTCAGCCCCTCCCCCACCATAGTGGAGATTAGGACTGGAAAAGAAAGGAAAAAAGGAAGGATAAAAGGAATTCAGAATAATTTAGAAGCTTTGGGTGCCAGTGAAGCAAAGCTGGAGTTCTGTTGAAAGATGGGAGT